TACTACTACTAACACTACTACTACTAGTGCTACTGCTGCTACTGCTACTGCTACTGCTACTTCTATCTACTACTACTACTGCTGCTGCTGCTGCTGCTGCTACTGCTGCTGCTGCTACTGCTAATGCAACTGCTACTATTACTACCACCACCACCACCACCACCGCCGCCTTGCCAGGGCTCCGCCTTCCGGATGAGCACCGCTGGCTCCAGCGTTGCAATCTCAGCACACCCTACGACCTCTATTACCGTAGCCACCAGTCTGCGCCGCTGGGATGTCCAAAGGGAGTCTCGGCATGAGTCGATTGTTACATGTCCGTTCAATGAGACTTGGGAAGCTCCACGCGCTGATATATAGGGCTTTTCATCATCATGCTACTGCTCGTGTTAAAAAGCACACATGCAACATGGTGGCAAGCAAAATCCGAACATGGAATCATCCTAGTCCTAGGGTGTCGCCCAAGGTGTTGCTGTCGCTCGGCTCGTCAGTCCTGGAGACGCACGACACTCCGCGTCGGAAGGCTTCCAAGGGCAGATCGTGGAGAGTTTCGGGCAACAATGGTTTCGTTTCTTCATGTTGTCGCCGTGCATGAGCTCCCGCCTCAACTGACGTCTGAAGTCGCTTGGAGGCACGGCCGCCGAGGGTCTGTATAAGGCCTTAAGGCAGAGACTTTGCCATTCTGTGTTGCTTGGCGTACCTAACGCGGAGGGCCTTTCTTGTTTGGTGCTGTTGCTTTGCGGGATCTGCGAAGCGTGGCCTCAACTCGGGAACTACACAGTGTCACGAGTGTGTGAGCGAACAAAGAGTGAGAGTGCACAGCATTGGAAGAATGGGAGTTGGATAGAATTGTCATAGACGAGAGTAGAGGAGCAGGATGACGGTTTAGCAGATGTGACACATTACTCAAAGAATAGTGTAAACCTGTGCATCCGTCCATCCATCCATCCATCCATCCATCCATCCATCCATCCATCCACCCATCCCATCCAGCCAGCCATCCAGCCAGCCATCCACCCATCCCATCCCATCCAGCCAGCCAGCCAGCCATGCATGCATAGACACTTGCTCGCACACATGCACAGAGGGGCACGAGAGCGTGTCTATGCATACGGGCAGACATGATACATGCCTACATGCCAGCAGTATCGCCTGCGACTCATCCACCCTGAACCCAAAACCACAATATTGGTGCCAGGACGGGTCTCCGAGGACCGGCAGTGCCCAGTCGACACGCGTTTGGTCCTCGGCTTTCATGTTTGGAGCGCTCATTGAGTGTAGGTTTGCGCTATGATCTAAATTTCTTTTTGTCCAAAAGGCTTCAGAAGTTCGGAGACATTGGCTCCCCTGATCCCTGGAGGTCTTTTCAATGTTGCAGACGTTGTAGGCCCACGTCGTAGACATCTCTAGACCAGAGCGTAAAGCCTTTCCGGAGACGGAGCTCTCCCGGGCGAAACCCCTGTCTCACAAGACGAGAAGTCTGTTCGTTTGCATTCAAAGCGTTCGGGATGGTTGTGGTTCTGCATGCAAAACATTCCATGGTCGCCGAGTTCACCGATCGGAGCATGAAACACCTCGGCGGCAGTGCTTGCGGGATGGCGCTCGTCTAGTTGAGCCTCCCCATCAGATCCCCATCCGCAGGATTCCTAAGACTAAGTCGAGAGCCTCTACGGAAGATTCCGAAAGTCGGCGGGTGGAGCCAACGCCCAGAGTCAAGATGGCAAATCGTCGCCCGCAGCCATCAGCCATCCTTCCTTGGTCCTTGCCAGGGCGCGTTCGAGCCGAACCGGACTTTGTTTTTTGCTTGGTGTTTTTTCTTCAGGTCTCAGCTCAACTGAGGGGTGCCTATAGAAGGTTTGTCTGGGATCCCATTAAGGTCAAGCAAAGGCGGGTAGGCTTGGAGGTCTGCGCGATCCTGACGACTCCTTCCTTCACGGTGTCCTACATCTCCAGGAGCCAGGCCCTCTCTGACCGTCCGAAGGTCGACCTCGCCCTGATCGAGCAGGTCGGTCCTGCCGGAGCTTGAGAATCGAGGGCTCCAGAGAGATCTTCACAGGCGTAACAAGGACCTGTAAGCTACCGCGGGAGTTTGGTATTGGATGGTCAAATCCCAGGACTGGTGTCGGCTCATAAAACCAATGATGGAAGTACCTTCAAGCGAGCTTCGGCTGACATGTCACAGTCCCAACAGCCCACCACATAAATACTAAATGCTTGTTGAGCAAAGTGTCCAGAGCCAGATTGCAACGAGAAAGGGTCCCAACCAGCAGATCCCAGAGCACAGCTTGAGCCGTACCTATAGTCGTGTTGGAGAGGCGGTGAGCTCGCTCCCAGCGATCAAAGAGGGCGGGAACCTCAGAAGATGCGTTTGCGATGCGTTGTTGGCTTCCAGGAGAGAGTTGGCTTCTAGGAGAGCAGGTAGGGGGCTGCGCTGGAAGGCTTTCACACGAATGTTTTTATGGGGAAGAGGGGTGGCTGGAGACTTGTTTGAGGTCGCTCCAATGCCACCCCAGGCTGAAGTGGCTGAAGCTGTTCTTGTCCGGAGGTCTCTGGGCCCCTCGACATCTGTAAACAAGCTCCCACATACCCTCAGCAAGGCGGTAGAGAGACTCCCCGCTGTCAACATGCCGCTGCCAAAAACTGGCAGCTTGTTCAAAGATGGCGACTGACGTGTCAGGCGCAGCCTGTAGGAAGTCCGCAAGGTCCGGAGACCCAGGCACCCAAGCAGAGCCGAAATATCAGGAATCCCGTGCTATCCCCTTGCGGAACCTGCAGTCATTTAGCACCCCCGACGTCTCCAAGAGATGTGATGACAAAGAGAGCAAGTTGTTTCAACAGGCGACCGCAGAGGCGTAGGCTGATTTCTTGAAACCCTGAGATCGAGATGCTTTGGGTCATTGTGGGTCGCTGTGGAACAACTTCAGAGCAACCTACACGTGTTGGCTGCAGGGCAGGTAAAAGGACGGACGGTTCCCTGGTAGAAGAAGCTCAATGTGGCAAGACATGGCAAGGCAGCTTCGAGATCTGTTCCTGGACACCATTTCCAGAGGTAGTTTGCAGGTTTGGGGAACACTTCTGTTTTTCCGGCCTTTGTGGCTCAAACCCGCGCCACCACGCGGCAGTCAACTCATGTCGGCAATTGCTGTATCGTGTTCGTCAATGTGGCACACTTGAGGATACGTATCAGGGCTTTCCTTGGGTTCGTTTGGTCCTAGCAGCCGGACTTCGATCTTTCGGACCGGATCCGCCGCACAGGAGCCTCGGATCCAAGCAGCAGTCCCAAGCAGTCGTGAGAACTCTCAGCTCGTCAGGACAGCCAGGATGGCTTCAACCATGTGGCAGGCCACACCCGAACAGGATTGTTTCCTAGCTCTGTCATCCTTTCACGGGTTTCGATCGAAGCCAAGGAGTGGCCTAGCACTTGGCATCAAAAGACAGACCAGTGTCGTACTTGCAAGGGATACTAGGGGAGAAAGAGGTCGGTCGAGATAGTACTTTCTGGACCTTCTGTGCGCTTGCAAGGACTGGCCTTCTCTTCCTTCCCTTCTCTTGACTTCTGTTTTGCTTCCCTTCTACTCTCATTCCCTTCCCTTTCTTTGCCTCTCCTGCCATGTGTTGAAAACATGATTCCATCCGAAAATGGCCATGGCTCGAAGAAGCCTCCACCTTCGGACTTGCTCTCCGCAGATATCCACGGACTTCCCCTGACCGCCATGGCGTCCCCGACTTCCCGCGATGCCACCGTGGACTACAAGGGCTTGGGTCACCAGAAGGCCCAGCCAGAGGCCCGCACTTCCCGCAAGTGGTACTTGGTTGGCGCTGGCCTGGCGCTGCTTGGGGTGGCCGGGGTGGCAGCGAAAGCGGCCCACTCCGGTGGTGCATTGTTTTCCTCGAGCTCATTGAGAAGTACCATACAGGAGGCTCAGACATGGGAGGAGCTGCCCGACATTGACAAGGTCATCCGCAAGGCTCAGGGTTTGGGCTAGGGGCTAAAACAAATCTATTTAAGGGATCAAAAAACTACTTAAGGGGTCCAAAAACAAGCTTTTCCTATTTCAGAGGAAGAATACAAGGCAACAGACAACGGAACAACACAAAGCATAGACACCTGTCCCAGGGAATCTAGAAATGAGGACGGAAAGCAACAAAGAACGAAAGAAGCACAGAAGGAAAGACACAAATAACAACAAACAGAAACACAGAAAAGAAGGACAGCAATTCAGCGCAGAGACAAAGAAAGACATAACTAATTAAAGACATAAGGCAGGAAAGATAGAACAAAAGAACAAAAAGCGAAGTAAGCAAATCAAAAGCGAAAGAAAGACAACATAAACAAAGAAATAGGGAAATAAAGAAAGACGGAAAGAGACAGCAATTCAGCGCAGAGATGCGCAGAGAGAAAGAACAGAGAAAGACAGAAATCAAGAAAGACAGCAAGATAGAAAGAAGGAAAGAACGGACAAAAACGAATGAAGCAATAAAGAAAGAAACGCCAGGAACTCAACACAGAGAAGTACAGTTAGTCCCTTACTAAGGATCCGGTTTCTCGACGTGTCGTAAGCTGTTTGTCCGATTTCTCGCAACGGCAAGGGTGACATATCCGCAGCCGTGCTTCTCGAGCACTCCGTTCCGTTACCCGACGGTGTGCCAGCTTCTTGCCCGCCCCCGTCCCCATTTCTCCTCCTGTCCGTTTCAGATTCCTTTCCATCTGTGGAATTGTTAGCTGGAGTTTGGACTTCTTTGGACTTTGTGTATATAGCTGGTAGGCCGGCAGTATACCCAGCAAAGTCCTTCCCGTCGGTCGGCCGATCCACAGATGTCCGCCGACCGACCGAATACCTGGCCGTAGCACGTTCTGGTTTTTCCGGTCCGATACCGACCGGGAATACGGAGACTCCGCTCCGGCGACAGCCATCCGAAAAAGGGAGTGCTTCTGCAGTGCATCTTTCCGGATAGCTTTAGTACATGCCACACCGCACGTAACGGACTAGTGATGTCGGCCAAACTAAGTAGTAACAAATGTACTTGCCTTATTAAAAGTCTAGTTAGTTAGGCCCAAGACCATAAGTATGAACAAAAAATCCTCTGAAGCCATCAACCCGAAACCTTCATGCCCAGAGCTTCATTTCGTGCTCACGATGACGATAGGTGTATAGGTATCTGCATAAGGATGTATATGTACATACATATCTACATACATATATATATATATGAACATCCAGATGTGCGTGTGTGTGTGTATATATATATATATGCAAATATGCGTAATACGTGTGTGTATATTTATGTATATATATATATATACATATGTGTACGTCCACATGTGTATAAACCTGTCCCCCATCCCCGCTCAAAACAAGCCAAGCCAAGTCAAGTATTGTAAAGCGAACATGGTGTACACACAAAAAACCCTCCGCGCATACTGAATTTTAAGCCATGCGAACCTGCTTCAATTAATGGCGCTCCATCATTGGACATTCCTTCAAGCAGCCTTTCTACGAACATTCTGTTTGCAAAGGGGGGCGCTGCGCCCCAACGCTGCTCTGTGTAAATTTTACACCATGCAAATCTGCTTGAAAGGACAGCGTGCCGTCAATGGACATTTCTTTGCTTCATCAAGCTTTTACACAAGGCCAATCGTCCGCCCCGTTCCTTTAGGCCGTGCGAACCTGCTTCAAAGAATGGCGTGCCATCAATGGATATTCCGTCAGCCAGCCTTTCTATGAGCATTCTGTTTGCAAATCGGGGGGGACTGCGCCCCCAATCCCCCGCTCTTTTTTAAATTTTAAGCCATGCGACGCTGCTTCAAAGAATGGCGCGCCATCAATGGATATTTGTTTCAAGCAGCCTTTCTACGAGCATTCTGTTTGCAAATGCAAGGGGGTGCTGCGCCCCCAACCCCGCACGCTCTTCTTAAATTTTAAACCGCGCGAATTTGCTTGGGAAAGCGTGCCGTCAATGGACATTTCTTTGCTTCAGGAAGCGTTTCCAAGAAACCAATCATCCACCCCGTTCCTTCAAGCCGTGCGAACCTGCCTCAAAGAATGGCGTGCCATCAATGGACATTCCGTCAAGCAGCCTTTCTATGAGGATTCTGTTTGCACGTGGGGGGTTGCGCCCCCAACCCCTCGCTCTATTTACATTTACAGCTATGCGAAGCTGTCTGAAGAATGGCGAAACGTCCATGGACATTCCCGCAAGCAGCCTTTCTAGGAGCAGTCTGTTGGCAAGTGCGGTGGGCACCCCTTTTGCTTTTTTGCCTTGTTTTCAAAAGCGACTTGCCATGCCCTCCCGTTCGTTTGCTATCCGAAGCAGAGGGTGAGACCAGTACCGCCAGCCGTGATGGTAACATATGAGCATACGAGAAGTGGCCTCCAGCACAGTGATGAGAGCGCGCTAACCGTGTATTCAAGGCAACTGTTCGTTGTTTCTTGATTTGTGCGTGACCTTCATTGGTGGGTGTGTTTGGGGGGAGGAAGCAACAATAGCTTGATACAAACAGCACGGCCAGAAGGATTTGCCCGCGAGTACTAGCGGGTTCCGTTGGATTGACAAAATTGCACTGGCGGGGTTCCGGAAGCATGTCAACAATGCAATGAGGGGGCATGTTTAAGATATATGAGGGAGCGTGTTTAATATGTATTTATATCTATATTTATATCTACATCTGTATCTATATCCATATCTATATCTATATCCATATCTATATCTATATCTATATCTATATCTATATCTGTATCTTTATTTCTGTGTGTGTGTCTATATCTGTATCTATATCTATATCTTTATCTGTATCTGTATCTGTATCTAGATCTACATCTATATTTGTATCTTTATTTATATCTATATCTAGATCTAGAAAAAGATCTAGATCTAGATCTACATAATGAACTGGACTCGCCGGATCAGGGGGCGTGTTTAAGATATACGATGAACCGGAATCGCCATGGGCCGGGCATGTTAAGATATGTGATGACCCGGAACCATGTTCAAGATATGTGATGAACCGGAATCGCCAAATGGAGGGGCGTGTTTAAGAAAAATGTGGCGGCCAAAAAAGAAAACAAACAAACAAAAGCAAACAAACA